CGGCCATCAAAGCCCCTCCAACCAGATCTAAGTCATTGCCAGTGACACCGACGCGGACGGGCGCCGAGTTGGCCGCCTTCGACCGCCGATCGTTTGCCAAATGGTCGGACTGTCGCGACGCTAACCAGCCGTCCGTCAAGCGACTGATCGAGTCGATCGAGACGGGCACAGGTCCTAAACAGAAGCCCTGTCCCTCACGTTCCCTCTCCAACACCAGTATTAACCGACTGATCAACTCGTCGTTACCGCTGATGACTGAGTTTATTATCAAACGTAAGAACAATTCGTCGCGTTTTATGCTATCCATCAGTTGTGATGTGAAGGACGAGAACAACAAAGTGTGTTCACCGAACCCGCCCGACCTCTCGCCCCCCAACACCCCATCCATTACTAACAATAATAATAATAATAAACCCAAACATATGGACAATATATTGAAGGAGAAGACCGATCCGAACAAAACAAACACTAATAACGGGTAATTGATTGTAGTTTTTGTTGTTTTAATTGTATTTTTAATTGTTTTGTCTGTTGTTTTGCAGTGATATAAATGTGGACAAGAAGTGCGCGGACCCGTTGTCGAGTCTGGTCCGCGGTGGCGGTTCCAAGAGGAACGCGCTGCTGAAGTGGTGCCAAAACAAGACAATCGGCTACAAAGACATCGATATAACGAATTTCAGCTCGTCGTGGAACGACGGTCTGGCCTTTTGCGCCATTCTTCACACATACCTGTCCGACAAAATCCCGTACGAAAGGCTCGACACCGCCGACAAGAAGCGCAACTTTACCATTGCGTTCAAAGCCGCAGAATCTGTTGGCATTCCCACTACTCTGGTATGTGTTTTACATCTGGTTTTGCTTTTTAATTGTGATTAAAAATGAGATTTTGGTGTTTTTAAGGGTATATTCCCTGAGTTGGGGAGTATTTGTATGGATATTTTAAGTCTTTTGTTTGAGTTTTTGTTTAATTTGCATACAATATGTATGATTTGTATTGTGTGGAAAGGGTTGTGTAGTGTATGTGTGAGGGAATGTGTTGTACAACGTTTAGTATACAATGAGATTTAATGGGAATATTTGCTATTAAAACGTAACTCTCACAACCTTTTAATAAGTTATATAATGTTTATGGTTTTTATGCTAAACATAGTGTTTGTCTGAGTTTTTAATCATTAATTTTGTTTATATTTAATGTGCAGAATATTCACGACTTGATAGCACAGGAGAGGCCGGACTGGCATTCAATACTGGATTACGTGACAAACATTTATAAACACTTCGAGACTTGAGAGAGAGTTTTCTCACAACTTTTTTAATGTATTTTATTTTTTATATTAATTATTCCCTCACTTTCTTTCATGTTTTTTCTGTTTCTCTCTCCTATTGTATGAATACTATTGTAAACTATTATTATTATAATTATTACTATTATAACTATTATTATTATTGCTACTATTATTACTATATTTAATATTTTAAGAGTATTTAAATGCAAAACAAAACGAGACAATGAATTCATCTGAAAAAAATACACTCAAAAAGTAGATATAAAAAGTATATTTATATAGTTTTACGTAATATTCAAACAAAACAGTGCTTTTTGGAAGAGTTTTTATATTGAAAATAATCTGTAATTTGTGTCCAATATTTGTTGGGAAAGTAATGAAATTTTTGAGGATTGCATTCATTTGTAATCTAGTCATAAGAATATATATTTAATTAATTATATATTATATATAATTTATATTTGAGAAAAAAGTTGATTTAAATTTATTTTTGACATCATTTACATTAAAATTGTTGTGAAATTATTGTTTTACAACAAAACAATTTTCTATTGAATTAAACGATTGATTAGTTGTGTAATCAATATTTCATATAAAATGCAAGTTTTTTTACATTAAAAAAACATAGCGTTAGACCAAAGAATTATTATCACATTATTGTATAAACATTATTATTATTATTAATTATTGTATCGGTTTTTCTAAATATGTTTTTGTGTTTTTATTATAATTATTATTATTATAATTACTGAATCTCTTTTTT